CCAGTTCTGGGTCGCCCACGGAACACACGGTCCGGATGTACCCATCTGGTTCCGCAAAAAATTTGTGACATCAAAAGCTTCTGACATGGATAAAAAGGGGTAGGACTTGGGGAAGGAAATTGCGGGCACGGAACCTAGTAACCATTGTTAGCTGGCTGATTTTTTGCTGGAAATTCACGGGACGGATACTGTACCATATTCCTGCCGGAGCGAAACTGAGGATCGGATGAGTTAACTGACCCAGTATGGACATTAGCATGATGAATGCATTGGCAAAACGGTCGTGGAGGAAACATGTTAGGGGGTAGGGGACGCATTGCTTCCACTGGAGCAAGAGCTCTATTAGAAGGCGGGAATGTCGGCATATTCGGCCTAACCACCTCGATATGAAAGCAGGGGGGCATTTGGAAACACGTCACGTTTTGAGTCGGGATGTTTGAGGCTCTGTTTGATAATTGTTGAGGAAAGGTTCTATAGTGGAGCTGGATTTATCGGGTGTCCGATTAGGTGAGACGGCAATTGCATTTGCCTTTGAATTCGGCACATGCTTGGGCTAACTAGGGCTTGCTGGGGAGTCGGCAGAGGCGACTAATGGATCACCACCCCAACCGATTCCGCAGTCCCCGGCCTATCCTGCCCTCACTGACACCACACATGTACATCACGCATCAGACTGGTCAGACACTTGCGTAACCACCGCATAGACACCTAGAAACCGATGATAAGGCGCACCGGCATACACACAATTTTATTTTATTTCTATTAAAGACCCGTCGGAGTCCCATCAAAGCAAGTAAAAATAAATTTACATGCGAATTTTAGACGAGGTAGGGAAAATCTGTACAAAGTGCAATACATAGTTTTTGAGATTAGAAGTCCGTTAAGAAAAATGATAAGCATGGGGTGAAAAAAAACTCCATTTGAAAATTTAAAAATGATTGGATTAATTTTACAGAAGAAGAAAAACCCATCGAAAAAATAGAACCAGAAAAATGCGGGCAGGACTGGCCTGCATGTGGCGGTATAGAATGGATTATAGTCGGAACTCAACAGGGCCGAAATAAATGCCAGCTGTATATGGCATTGTATAACGGATTTCATAAAGGGGTAAGTAGGCGGGTCGGTCAGGACTGGCCTGTATGTGGCCTTGAATAAGGCAAATATGTGGCAAAATTGAAAACCAGTCTCGAGCTGATAGGAACCCAGATGTGGTCGGTTACATACAACCGAGTCCATCCGAGGATGGGGCAAGGGAGATGCGACCAGACTACTAGTATATGGAGAATATAGAAGGCTTTGCCAAGAGCATCGATGTAGCGCATTCTGTGAGGGCACAATGCATGAACTGAAAATGCCTGCCTTCACTGCCTACACTGTCCATGCACATTCAGTCATCACATGGGCCTAGTCGGTCACATGCACCTCCATGAAAACCTACAGCAAAACACTACAGACACCACCATATCACTACACTACTCCCACCAACACATACAGCACACATAGACCCTTCCAACACCCCAAACCCCCAGCACTTCTCAGATAAGTGCGAGGTGCGCCCTTCGGCTCCTTTCTCCGTGTGGTTCACCTGCTGCTTGTGAAATCCGAGCGTTCTACCTCCCTGTGTGTGTAGTTCCAACATGTGCGTTTTAGATGTCAGGACGTGAATGTGGAGCGCAGACAGACTTTCAAACTGTGTCGGCACCGCGCTTACTTCCGGCATTAGATATCTGACCGGCTCGAACAGTTGACTGGTGCCTGTGTGTAGGGAGAAATAGTGGGGCTTATAGTCTCAGACAATATTCTTCACTGTAAACAATCTGACGAGCTTAAATATATCACGCTATGCTAAAATCCGTGGCTTCTAAGGTTTCCAACTAACGGAATAACTCGAAACTTGCAGTCAGCCTTCTGTGCGTTTGTATGAGATGGCCAACTGGTGGACTGGGAATCAGGCAGCCATGGCTTCTTCTTAATGTGGCCTCCGTGGCATTCCACCTCTGTGGGATGCGAAATGGGCGTGGTGGCGTGCCTAGGACAATTCCAGTGGCGCCAGCATCAAGTGCCCTCCCCAACCTCCTACCTTCTTGACTTTGTCACGGTATCGACCCTAGGCGTGGGAGGAGGGGGTGCAGAAGATGCTGTGCAAGTATGATATCACTACAGGCTGATTCACGAGCAAGTCACCGTCCCTGCTCTCGCTCGGCTGTGGAGCACACGGTGAACATCGTTGAAATCGACGGTATAACTGTCATCAAGTGCACAGTCATCGGCAAATGACAGGTCGTGGATGATGGTCTTGGATACTCGTGAACGTGCACGAATTTGGCAGATTTTGAACAAGTTTCCATCCGCCTTATAGTCCTCGTCGATGCTTAACCACCCCTTTCGGTAGACGCCCATTAGCGTGGCAGTAAACGAAAGACTAATGGGGACGGGCGCAAATATAGAACCCTGCCTCCCTGTGTTTGTCCCTGCAAATGCTTCAGAGGCTGTTACATTGTAGATGACGAGAGACGTCATATTGTTGTAGTCTCCGGATCATACGTATACAGTGCGCTGGTCAGCATAATTATAGCCGATTGTTTCAGTCCAGTTTCATCTGGTTGAAAGATTTTCGGTTGTCAATATCAGTTCGTCGCGCTTTCTAACATGTCAGTGACCCTGCGGCACTTTTTAGTCCTGTCATATTTCCCTCGCGTTCCCTGCACGACATTGCTTTTTTCATACATTTACTTCTTTTGCTCTGTTGTGATGGAGTGAATGGTCCCCGTTTACCATATTTGCTGCCGCCCTAGCCTCCTTGATTCCCATTCCGACCAAGTTCATGTAGGGCGTCTCCTATTGTTCCTGCGTTTGCCGGTGAGACCGCACAACATCGAAGTCAGGATATCTTAGTTGTAGTCTATGAACCAATGAGTCAATGAGGACAAAACGAAATAGGCTTTTACTAAGGTGAAATCTAGGTGGAAAACATGGTTGGCCTCCTGCTGAGCTGAACGCGGACGGCGGTTTCAGTGTCCTGGTAATCAGTAGAGCTAGGAGTACCACACTAAGACCACTAATATACTGACTGGGAAGACAGACTGAGCGCATCTTAGCCAACCAACTCCCATTCAGATAAAGACACCAACACTTGGGCGAAGTTTAGAGTCGCTTAACCGACTAATTAGTCGACGAACAGGTTTTTGGCATTTGTTTATTAAGATTTGCGAAAATTTGATCAAGCGCTCCCTTAATGAAGCCAAAGGAAGCACTCTGAAAACGGTAGCAGAAACCAGAGTGAAATTAGAGGGATAACCAGATTGCTACACATAAGCAAGCACACGGGGGAGATCTCCGTGGGTAGCGCTAGTCCAATTTTGGTAGACTGAAATTTGACAGAGGAGGCTGTTCGTCTCAGTCCGTTCTGCGCTCTGTTCGAGTCTGCATTTTTTGCACAGCAGTGAGTAACGCATTCGAGGATGGCTTCTAGCATTCAAACCTTGTTTGAGACTAATTTATGATATATGCGACCGTGAAACTGATAAGAATTCTTTAAAACTTACCATGTGGTGAAGGAACGCCTTGTCTGTAAAAGCGAGAGTTCGGCCCCAGGGGCTTTGTAGGAAAGATAGTTACATACCTATCACGGGTCATTGCACCCTTAAGGTCACCCGTTTTGACGAATGAACTGTGCTACGCATTACAAGTTAAGCTGTAACCTGTCAACATGTTCGAGCCTTTCGTATTTCCGAATGGTGCAGTCCGTCTAAGGAATGACAAGGAACGAATGTGATATTTCGAGATCCCTCCCCTGTCTGCGCAGTATAGATTTGGGCCTGAACTGAGTATTAGTAAGAAAAACCTGTTCAGCGTTGAACCCGATTTCCCCCACTCCACCTCAAATTCCAGTAACAAGACCACGACTAATATTATTAGCAATAGGAGTTGCCTTATAATGACAGATCAAAGGCACAGGAAGATGAAGCTACCGATTTATCTGGTGGGAAGCATGTCTAGTCCTGCCTTTGTCTACCAGGAGAAAAATGACAAAAATTGTCCTTGGGCTTTTGTGTTCAGGTCTCTGATCAAAATCCTGCAGTTCTGCACATATGCGGCCCGCCCACCTCCAGAATACAGAGCATCTTGATATTGTTTGACTTGGCTAACATGGATAGTTGCATGGTGCTGATTTGCCTCTCTAGGTCCCAGCCTCTTTCCAGTGGCGAGACGGTGTAAAGCCTGCTGGGATGTGCTATTCGTTACAATGTATGACCAAATTATGTGTGCCCTGTCTTTTCTCTATTAGCTTGCTTTCATGGTTAAGCCACCTCTTTTAGTACATCTGCCAAATCCATAGAATGGGACAGCACACGGGGATTCGGTCCTTCGGTCAGTCCGATTATCAGCGCGTGACCATCGTGTATGTCACTATACGCAATCAACTGTAACTGAGCGGCCACATGTGATTGAACACTTAGCGTGAAACTCAATTTACAGCGGAGACTCCTTTGTTTGCCCAGGTCACAAGACGAATATAGGGCTGCCTAAATGCTGTATCTGGCGCTACCTGCCTTGTTTGCCCTGATTTTATGCTTAATTCCAACCTTATCGCTCTTACCTGATCCAAAATTTAACACAAAGGGCCGCCTGGTGAATTAATTGACTGAATTGGTTTCCGTCCAGAACCTGTTTGCTGAGGCCTGTCGTTGATGCTGCCCTCTAAAGAGGATTCACGGGTGTTTTGATTGTCAGCAAATGAAAGTATCAGATAAAACCCTGTTCAGGAGCCGTTGTTATACCTTCTAGAACCAGCTTTTACTCTCTGCTACTTTTTTCTCAGGCCAGATGAAGGATAAACTATTTTGGAATCTGATTGGCGACCTGTCAGTACTTCGGTAAGGGCCCTCCTAACTTATGTTTATTTTCCGTTTTCTGGTTTTTAGACCCAAGGAAGCCAAACGCGGATAATATCTGACGGAACAGAGCTGTGCTTGCGCATAGTTTTTATGAAAAAGAAGATGAATTTTGTATTGGCGGTGCTGTCCGTAGCCATTTTCTCATACTGGTTTCTGATTGTTGATGAGGACGAGCCTCTTTGCCAAAACAACCACGAATCGAAGGTATATTTCAAATGACTTGTCCTTGATTCAGATGAACAGAATTCAGCCCTACAGCACACAGTCACAGACAATCACCTTCGTGTGTTATCTAGTCTTCTTGTGGATGTGAATTTTTCATCTATCCTTGAGCGCATTAATCTCGTTCGACCCGTTGGGTCTGAAAACCACCACACTGTTCGAGAGGTAATTCGTACCTTATTTGGAATGGTTATTGACCTAGTACATAACCTCATTCCTTCGAGAACTTGGCTGGCATGTCTCGGAGGATGCATTTCAGGAGTGGACAGTGCTTGGAGAGCAGAATTTTACCAACATTATTGCAATTAATCAATTCGATCTTCCTAGACGGCTAGCCCTGGCTTGTCATTATGATTCGAAGAGGATAAATGGGTTCTACGGAACAACTGATTCAGCAGTTCCTTGCTCGATGATGTTGGTCATTGCCAAGGCATTGAATCCTTTGTTAAAGTCCTCAAAGGTACATCTCTCTTTTGCTTTCCTCCCAAGTCAGCAAATTGTTGGTTAACTTACCCCTACATTTCACGATCAACCAGCGTGAGCGTGGCTCGGCGTTCAAGGCTGCCAACTTTCATTATCACCGAATAACTTTGCCAGCCTGCTTTGCTGGACCGTAAAACGCGCCGTCTAAGGGCATTATCTGAATCGTAGTTTGGCTTTGTTGGACGCCGTTAAAATCTGACAGAATTTCGAATTTTTATCACACCTGATGTCTCAAGTAGTCAGCCTTTGTAGTTGGTGCACAAGCGCTTAAAACCGTCGGCTGAGGGTGCTTTGCTGCCTCTAGCCTCTCTGGACAAGTTATTGACAGTATTCCAGCAATTATTGGTTTCTCCGTGAACGAACTTTTGCCTTCTAGTTTTTAGATCTCCACAGAGAGAAATGCGCCAACTTGAAGCAAATCATTTGGAATGAAGCTTCATAGGCTCAGTCTGGAAGTTGACATGAATATTCGAGCCGAAATCCATCAAATTCAGTGGGACATATGCATAAAATGCCAACAGGGCCAATTGTACGCACTTATTGCGTGATTTGGTGTACTGACAGCACAGGTACGAGCCAAGAGTCCGATGGAGTTTTCTCTGTGCGGAAAAAAACATTTGACGCATGCACGACTCAGTTATGTTTCATAAAATTTCGTTCCGGGAATCTGAGTCTTGACGAAAGGGAAGGTCGTACACGTCCCTCCATCGGTTGTGACCACCACTTGCGGCTTCGGGTAAATCTACTCGAGGGTTATCGAAAAACCTGAACGTTTGAGCTAGGTCAAGTCGGAAGGGCGAGATAGACGTGTTTCACAGCAATTGAATCAGTAGACACATTGGTAAGAGCTTTGCTGGGCACTTTTTTAGTTCAACAAGACGGTCACTGTATTGGTCGAAATGCGGCGATGTGTGGAGAGTGAATCCTGTACCGTCACCGCCAGCGATCGACCCAACGATAGCCGAATCCAACCGCCCAAAGCCATGTTATATCAGAAAGGTCCCGTTATAACCGTGCTGTTACCTGACCCCGATCGCATCCACTACAACATCCACTCAACAAAGTGTCCGAGAAGCAACGCGATAAAAATCTGCCGTTGAAGTTTTCCGAATGTCTGTAATGACTGCATTCAATCACAAGTTTCACAGAAGACGTTCCGGAGGTTGGACTAATTCGTCCATCGAAGCACCTCACCCTGCATGTTCGCCAGACCCCATGCCAACTAATAAGCGCTTCTTAGCCTATCTCGGTAAAAGCTTGCAAGATAAAATCCTTCGAAGTTAAACCGCAACTGAAAATGCTTTTGAAGAATTCACCGGTTCCAGCACTTCACATTTCTGCTGGGGCACGATAAATAGACATGTATCTCTTTAGAAAAAAAGGGTGGAGATGCTGGTAGTTTTTATTGAAATCGGGAACTTATTCCAAATATACGTATAAGCTTTTAAATTCCGTGGTTGAAAACTGGAAGGACGCAAGTAAAGGCTGCGTTTCTTGGGTCTGAGTTCTCGTCCTGACCCGTTTCATCGCTGAAAATCGAGGAACGGATAAATTGTTGTGCCTAATTACCCGTTTTCCTCAAGTACCAAGGCAAGGCATATGACTTGTCAATACATGCTATGGTTTTTCTTCATCCACTAAAGGTGGCCTTGCAGCTTCTCTTCTTTGATGGTGAAGAGGCATTCGTTTCTTGGTCTCCCGATGACTCCATCTATGGTTCCCGTCACCTGGCTGCGCAAATGCTTCAGAGTACCAGTGGTGCCGGTGCGTGTACTGACTTGTCACGAATTGTAAGTTATACTTTGTGTCATTGTTCACTCTGAGCCGCACTAAAAATCAGCCATACTACCTTAGTTGTAGGAGTTTGAGGGCTTTCTTCATACACCTACGATGTGGACCCCACATCGACGAATGTGGTGCATATTTGACCCTGCAGAGTCTCAGTTACATAAGCTTTTTACACGGTCCCAGAAAATTGGGCCTCAGAACTCCTATTCTGGACGCTGGTGATCGGTTTATACTTACTCAAAAAATTATGCATTATTTGATAGGGGGCCGTTTTCAAATACTCTAGTGAGATGACCACGCAGTTCCTTACTATACGTACATTTTTAAGGTCAGGTTTTAAAAAAAACAGCTGAGTATACCTCCTTTTGCTGCTACCTTTAACATTTTTCCTCCAGGGCACGGTAGGTCACCAAAAAGGACTCATGACGTAGTCCTAAGGGCCAGGTTGGGACGTAAACCCCTTCTGGTTTTTAAACTGAAGATATTACACAAGCTTTGTTAGAATAATGCCAATTTGTGCTGTCTAAAAGTACCTTATTTGCAGTGTTTTTTCTCCTTCCGGGCTATGCGATATTTTGTCGAAATTGCGTGCAAACTCGACCCCCTATTCGAAAACACATTAGACCTGTTTTGCCCAACGAGTGTCATAGAGTTTTTTTGTGCCAGCACGACAGCTATATCCGCCCAATGCACCTACGGTCTCCATGTTTTGACTGAAAGAGCACGAGAAGGGGGTTTCTTGCCTTAGGAGTGGTAATCTTCCGGACAATCTTTTACCTAGGGGTTTTAAAGAACCATTTTGCTGGACTAACATTGACACCAAGGGGATTTTTAAAATGACTTCTACAAACGAGGTTTCGATTAATCTCATTGAAAGGTGGTGGAATGATGTCAAAGAAAACACTGAGAGGTATATTCATGATTAGATAGGTCTGTGAGCATTCATTTTTCACTTTGATTGTGCATGATAAAAACGGAAAGATGCTTTGCTTCAGTCTGATATTTTTGACATTAGCATTTTTTAATTGATTTTCGGTGCCCTTAAAGATTCAATTATATATCATGGAAGACATGCATAAGATATTCATTCTTTTGCTAATTTAGTAGAAAATTACGTCTTCATTCAATTTTATACTCGAAGAAAGGGTATAATTCGGTTTTAAAAAAGTGTCTAATTGTGAGATTTTTTAATACCGTGAAATGGCCCTTCATAAAACGTCATATATCTGCATTTACCAATGTGGCTTGTAAAGTTCACAATGTGGCTCAAATCCACTGCCTAATTTTATAAGCCCCATATGGTCTCCTCTTAATACCGTAGAGAAATGTTTGGTTTTCCGTACGCGGAAATTACACGGCTTGTAGTTCGAGAACCCTGAATGCAAGTGTAACGGGAGGTCGGTTTCAAAATTATTCGGGAATTGGAAAGTTTTTTAATATCGAACTATACCCTTTCTTCGAGCATAAAATTGAAAGAAGACGTAATTTTCTACTGAATGAGCAAAAATGGATATTTTTCTGCATGTTTTCCATGAAATACAATTGAATCATTAAGGATATCGAAAATCAATAAAAAATGCATGCTAATTAAGTAGTCATTTTTTACGGAGTTTGGTTTTAGGGTGCAGCCAGAAAGACGTTTGCTCTAAAGCCAGCGTCGTGGGGTAACTGAATTATTATAGAATTATGCTGCACGATGATTGGTTTTACAACCTTACTTAATGAATCTTTTCGAAACAAAAACGCATTTCGGAGTTTCTGTTGAGATTTCATGAATTAGCGCACCTACTGTACCTTATTTGCAGTGTTCATTCTTCTTCCGGCCTATGCGATATTTTATCAAAATTGCCTGCATGCTCGACCCCATGTTCGAGAACACATTTGGCCTGTTTTGCCCAACGAGTGTCATCGAGATTTTTTGTGCCAGCACGACAACTATATCCGCCTAGTGCATTTACGGTCTTGATGTTTTGACTGAAAGAGCACGAGAAGGGAGTTTTTTGCCTTAGGAGTGGGAATCTTCCGGATTTACAGAACCATTTTGCTGGACTAAAATTGACACCAAGGGGAGTTTTAAAAGGACTTCTACAAACGAGGTTTTGATTAATCTCATTGAAAGATGGTGGAATGATGTCAAAGAAAACACTGATAGGTATATTCATGATTAGATAGGTCTGTGAGCATCCATTTTTCACTTTTATTGTGCATGATAAAAACGGAGCAATGCTTTGCGCCAGTCTGATATTTTTGACATTTTTTGTCTTCAGGACCTTCTGGTACTCCTTGATCTTCTCGGGGCAGCAAACACACAGTTTCCTCGCTACCCGCATTGCGATGAGTCCATTTATCGGATGATGATCGACATCGGTATGTTCCCCTGATTACTTGCGTTCATTACTCTCTTCCAAAACACTGTTCTTGCCTTGTTTCCTTCTTGAATTATTAGATTTCACGAAAGATAGGAGAACCGAGAACTTTTTCTATTTAGGTGGAAATCTGTGGTTGATGGAGCTCATGCCCTCAAGGGGATGTTTTGAGCTTATTCCCCTCTATATAATGCTTCGTCCCTGTCTCATCGGAGACCAGATAAGTAGCACGATGTGTTCTTCATATAAATCCGATTAAGTTACTAATTTTTTTACGACGAGCCTGTTTAGGTCAGCCCCGTCGGGAGATGATGGTGTCTGTTTTCGGTGGTGCTTAGATATGCAGTGTCCTCAAACTCCCTGTACAGTTAAGAGCTACTGCTGGGCAGCAGTTGCATAAATCTCGCAGCAAGGGATGCATTTAAAAGGTAATGACGTTAATACTGATTAGAACATCGCCTTGTGAGGGCAGACCATACAGACATAGGACGCGAGACTGGATGGAATCGCGCTTACTAGGCTTGCCTCGTGATTCCGGACGAACATTCGGTCCGAGTTTCAAAGGCCTGCTTTGGGCGGGAGGAAGAACCTTCTGTTGATTAACACAGCTGGCGAATTATGATCGGCGGTTTTATGATTTTCTTCAAGAGGTACACGAAATTTCCGCATTTTCTACTCATTTTTACAGGAAACTGCGTGATTACTTTGGTACCTGATGCAAAGGAATGTCCCGTCAGCGAAAACTCTCAACCTCAATTTTTAGGACTTTCACACGAGTATTTACATGGTTTAACATTTGCAGGTCTATATAAGGAGGTCACAGGTAACGCAGTATGAGTTACACGTGTTTAAATATATCACGAGCGTCAGGACGTTTTTGTTTTATGTGACATTCTGTCCGGAGTGAATGCACCTTATGTGTTTTGGAGACGAGCAAACGACGGTTCAGACTGTGTTTCAGGTGATATAGGATTTCTGTGCTCTTATGCCACAATATTCCGCATCGTCCGACACCAGATTATCGGCAGCTATGACTTCCTACCAATCGTATACAAGAGGCGAAAACATTATGCATCACTTCCAGGCAATTTATATGAGTATCAGAAATCGATGGGCGGCATCTGCTAGTTAATTGCTTATTTTATGAGGTATGGAGAGGTCTACGACGAAAACCTAACTTGCGCAGTTGTATGAACTGACTAAAGATCACTTACTATTGCAATCAGCGCCGCAATACACGTTAACGGTAGATTATCCCGGAAACGGTATTTACGAATTTCAATGTTTCCGGGCTTTGGCGCCCTCGATATGTGTGACGTATATCTTATCCTTATCACCTCGTCGGTCCCGCTTATTACTACTGACTTGACTGTCTCCAGGTCCATCATCGTTCCCCATCTCACTCATCTGATTTACACTTCAGTCCGTCGGACCCTCCCTGAATCGTGAACCAGGGCATCACAGTGCGTATTGCGTCCACACACTGTCAGACTTCTGGGTTGCATTCGACTAAGTAACAAGCGTGTGCGATTAATGTTTACGTTAGCTTAGCAGCGGTAGCGTAGTCACTACACTCCGTCTCAAGTGGCACACACGATGGGCTTTGACTTTTTGAGAGCTCTGAATAAATAGCACAGTCTGCGTGCCGTCGAACAGCAGCTTCCCGCAAATAACACTGCACGCTCCACTTATTGTTCGAGTCCTAAACAACTTTGTTAAATGATTTCTAGCTATCTAAACAAAATAAGTAGCGATTATGTAGCAGTAAGTTACAGGGATGCCTAGCATCTGTCGCCTTTTGGACTTACGTGTAGTTAAGGAACTGCATTTCCAGCAGTTTTCCCGTCGGCTACCCGGCCGCATTTTTGGCTATTTGTCTATCGGGGAACCAGTTTACCCATTGGAATAACAAATCGGAAATCTACTAACAGTAGTTTATTTGCCTCATTAGACCAGTAAGAATAAGTACTTCTCAATTTTTCCTGCTTTCGTAATTTTACTCAGCATGCCTTAAACATTCGGTCTGTGGAACATGTTGCGAACGAAACGGTTTGATAAATACTGAGCCATATGTTGCTCCAGCTTGGCTCTGTTTTACCGGCATCTGTCCAATTCGCTCAGTAGTGGTTCCCGCAGCCAATTCTCCTGCCTAAGTCCTGCCTTGTCTCCCCCCGCCCTGCTCTAGAATCGACTGCAGCCCGCGCAAACCTCCTGACTGAACCGCGTTTTACGAAGTCTGGCGCCTCCTTTTTCTACAACATCACGATGAACGGTATTGAGGACGACCACTTACCTTTCATTAGGAGGGGTAAGTCCAGAACCCATTTTCTGGATCAGCATTATCTCCTTCTGTCTAGAACATTATGTCTGTGCGATTTTCGTAGCCGTAGACTCACTAAAAACGTTGAATCCACCGACGAGTGAACCGCGTCGGCTCATCCCTCCTCCTCCTCCTCCTCCTCCGCCGACAGTGTTAGACCCCAACGTGAGCAGATCATTCTATTGGACAGCTACGAAGCCTACTTCTGCTTCTATTGATCAATTCTGTCATTTTGTCTTCTCCCTCTGTTCTATCTCCACACTTGGACCTGCTCCACCTGTTCGTCGTCATCTGCACTCTCTTATTTTCCAGACAGACTGCGCTTCGGCCCAGCAGCCACGTGTTGATACTGGATCGGCCGCCGTCCAAACGACCGCCCTTTGGTCATTTTGTTACAGGTTCCCGTTGATAAGGGCGACGGACAAAATGCCACAGAGACATCTTGAAAACCATAGTTAGCTGTTTCGGAGTCCACAAGGAGTGCCGATAAACCACTACACCGAACCAGAAGACCTGACAAACTGCCTTTAAAAGTGAAGTAGCAATATTTGAACCTGCTTGAACCGGGGGGGGGGGAGAGACAACGAAGAGACAAAAACCCAGAATCGGAGTACTTTGGAACGATACTGTTGGCGTCTATTATTTTCCCATATATCCTTATTGGGAACGCACATTCTAGTTCCACATTGGACCTGTGGGACGCATTCGTATTCTCCGTGGCATCGCTAACAACAGAGTTGACACTAGTTTGACGAGCATCGAAACGTTGACAAACTTCTACTAATCTGTCCATGCTATGAATGCACTTTTCGGCCTCTGATACATCCGCGTCAACTTCTATATAACCAATACTACCTCGGACGAACGTTGCCACTGGCGTTTAGAACACTTCAGTCCCAGTCCCAGCCAGCCTATCTGTCCGTATGACGTCTGCTGTTCGACAGTGGGGCACTGGACTGAGTGTTCGATGTGGCGGTTGCGAAATCTCGACCAATGCTGGCGCCACCAACGGCCATTTCTACAATTGAATATCTGGACTTGTCCCGCCGGTTCGACGTCCAGCTAGACTACTCGCCTGCGACAGCTGTTTCCTATCCGACAATGACGACTCTGACCTACTTCGACTTGCTGCATGCTAAGAAAAGGCTTGTTGGCTACCTACCTCCACCAGAATTCTCAAATCACCATCAAAACTACACAATCCTGCAAGTTGAGAAGGATCTATCTCATTCGGTGCCTCCATTCACTTTCGTTATTCCTGTCGGCGAAACGATGGCAAAAAAATGAACCACAAAGACGTTTGGAGATTAAAGTCCTTTCTTGGATGTGTCTTTCCTGTGTTTAGAGTAGATTTTATTATTGTAGAGGGGCTCCCACCGATCGTTCTTACGGAACTCACTCGTTCCGTTGTGCCTTACGGGCTCTCTCTCCAGCCCAACCAGCGGCCGCACAGCGGTGGATGATATAGGAAGAATGGTATTACCGACAAAGACAAGGCAAACTGGAATGGCCATTTCTGGCTTATTAGCCGTTGCCAGCCAGTCATACCTAACCCCGAAGTGTGGAACACCCGAGGCTCGAACTCGCGACCTGTTAGTTAGACGTCCAGCGCCTCTGACCACTGAGCCACGGGAACGTTGTCCTGTCGGTTGCGATCGGGAATATTTAATGGTAGAGGGACGCTCACTTCGGTGTTGGGCATGACTGGCTGACGACGGTTAATAAGTCAGAAATGGCCATTCCAGTCTCCCTTGTCTTTGCAGGTAATACCATGCTGCCCAGATTTTAATATGTTCTTCAAATCCACTAATAGCTAAGACGTACTCGTTTCCTTTTGAGCAATGGTCCTGCGTGTAGGGTCCTGCTTAGGGTGTAGTACTGCGGAGTCGGTTGGGAGTGACCTCTACCGATCTTATCTGGTTGCAGAACAGAGTGCGAACGCCCAGTTCTGCCTTATACGGAGCTCCCCCAACGGCCGTCACCGTCGCCAGCCAACCAGTCGCAGCACAAACGCTTCAGTGCTGAATCGCATCTGAGTTCAGAAATTTATAGATGTTTTGGCAGATTTTTTGAGTAATTCATTCTGACCCAACTGTTAAAAATTCAGCGCCTCGGTGGGATTCGAACCCACGCATTAAAAGTAAGGCTTTATTACAGGCAACGCTCTAACCACTTCAGCTACGAGGCCCCGCCGGACGACACGAGTTTAATCACATTCGGGTCAAGTTTACCCGCCCAACCTACTGCAAAGTCTAGAATCCACCAAATCCAATACAGTAAGTTGACTGCCCAACATCTATGAATTACGTGAGTCTGGTAGTCATCTGGTGGATTCTAGGTGAGTTACTTAGGAAATCCTGCTTGGACAGTCAACTTACTATATCAGGTTTGTTGGATTCCAGACGTTGCAGTCAGTTGGGCGGCTAACTTGATCCAAATATGATTAAACTCTCGTCGTCCGGCGGGGCCTCGTAGCTCAAGTGATTATAGCGTTGGCTGTAATAAACCCTTCCCTTTACTGCGTGTGTTCGAATCCCACCGAGGCGCCGAGCTTTTCACAATTGGGTCAACATGACTTCAGAAAGCCCGAACATGCTCGACTGCATCCCTATTTTCAAACTTCGACGAGACCAGCGAAGAGTGAGTTCCAGCGCAGGCCGGAGAGAATTCATAAGATTTTAACCTCTTGAAGGAAGCTGTTTCTCCACATCGGTGTGCATCATTTTGATTTGTCTCTTGAATTTCAGGTGTTCCCGTTCTGCACCTCATTCCTCTGCCATTCCCCCCTCAATGGCACACTCTACGGGATAATATAGAGAACGTGGATATGAGGACCGTGCGGGACCTGCAGTTATTGGTCGCCGGCTTCGTTTCCCGGTATCTTGTGCTCAACCCGGTGGCCTGACGCGCTCGTGGGCCAGAGCGCAACGCCTTCTTGTCTTTCTGCGCCTGTCTTTGGATCGTTTTATTTGCTTTTACTCTAGCCTTAATATCTTGTACCAAAATCTACTTCGTCGACTTGTTCAACGGTGTGGTGAATGGGAAATCGCGTTGATCGCTCCTCTCTCCCTGCCCTCCGCGTTATCCTCTTACCCATATTTCTGCTTTTCAGATGGCGGGGTATCGTTCAGAGTATGACCTAGGAGTCGCCCGAATATTCCGACAATGCCTGCACGTACGAGAATTTTCCAGATCAACCATAAAGTTTATCGTATTCATGGCCACCGACGCAGTCCTGCTCATGCATTATTATGTGTCGGTCTCTTTCGCGATAAGTTGTGCATGATGGCTTCACCTACGGGTATAGCCCTGCCGACCGATAAGCGTATTCGGTGGTCCGCAAGATGTTCGATGTTTGTTAAGTGCGGTGTTTCATCAACCACCGCACGTGAGGGTTGCCTAGAACTATCCAGTGCTCAATTTTCTCGCGCCGACCAAACCTCATCGCGTTTGGGGGCGCCTTAACAGATAGTGCGGGAAACGCAGATATTTTCGAATTGTACGCCTTAAATCACTTAAATTTGCTGACGGCGTTTGTAGCGGATCAGCGGGCCACCAGTAGATGCCAATGGCCGAACTGCGGTGCCAGATAACTGACATCGGAAGTCAGGCAAGGCATGGTTGCCACCTATTGCGACTCGGCAAGCTAGTACGTGTTAGGGTCCGCGTGTTAGCTGCCAACAGCCAGCGCAGATTGTTTTTTTTTTCAGAGGCCTTAATGAGATGCAGTAGGTGTCCTCTCATGGAATGTTAACCGAGATTCTAGAATATGGTTTCCCCTCGAAAGGGGTTGTAATATTGGTCATCACGCGGCATCATCATGGGGCATTTCAGTCACGCCATAATGTCGGCTTCCGAATGAGCTTCGTTTTGGCTGTCTGCAAAGTCTACACTCTGTACAGAATGACCACTTGAGTAGAGTGATTCTTCTCCATTTATCCTCCACGCCATTATTAGTTCATATTTATGTAGAAAACATGTACAAAATATCCATTCTTTGGCTCATTTAGTGGCAAATTACATCTTCACATTTTTACTTAGAGAGAAAGTACTTTTTGGTCTGTAAAGACTTCGATCCCCAATCAATTTTTTGCTCAATTTGCTGTTACAGTTGCGTTTGAGGTTTCCAAACTACATGCTGTACACATCCCGTCAAAGGAATATCGCATATTGCTCTATGCCGTTAGGAAGTCATCACATAGGGATCATAAAATCGTGCAATGGGTATGGACCAGGTCGCAAACTTTATAAGTTGCATTCGTAGACGTGCTGATGCGGTGCTGTGTGGATGGACATTCTACGACCCTAAACACTCTCATAATTGAAAACTTTTTAGAACCAAAAGATTATCCTTTCAGGCAGATACTTTGAGGAAGATGTGATTTGCTACCACAAGAGCTAAGGGGAGAATATTCCTGTGCACGTTTTCTATAAAACAATGGAATTTATAAAGGGGTTAAAAATCAGTGGAAAAATGCATGCTGTTTATTTAGCCACTCTGCAGACAGCCGGGGGGAAGCTCATTCGAAAGCCAACATCCAGGAGCGACTGAGATACCTTAAGATTATGCTGCAAGATAACCAATACTAGAACCTTGCTCGAGTAATCCTTTCGAATCCAAAACATTCCAGAACTCCGGTTAACGTTTCATGAGATAGCACATCCACCACATGCCCTTTAGATGCCGTTTTATTTCTCCCACCCAACTTACAAACTAGCTGGTACTGACGTGATAACCGGGCTACGTAGATTGGCATGGATGCGCCTGGGTCCAACGCCTGCTTGATACTTCGGCTAACACGTTTGCGCTCTAGTTCGGCAAAGGCAGTCATTTCGACTCTGCCCGACTTCGGTACGCGTTAATCTCTTAGGAGGTGCGCGACGACAGCACTACCAAATGCAGGGGCCTCAGGGCTTGATACAGCGAGAGCCCTATGCAATGTCCTCTCTGCCGCGACGCGCAAACGGAGATGTCACTGCGATTCCAACCGAAACAGAGCTGCGCTGGCAAGCAGTTTCCGCTTCGCCGAACCTGCAGGCATTGTTGCTACTACTGTCCGTGGCTTCCGTTCATGGAAGTGACTTCGGTTGGTTCCAGACTGCTATCACAGAACAGGGATCGGAGTTCGTGAGAAGGGCGGAAGGAGTGATTTCCTTGATGTCTCTGGTGTACGTGTAGGTACTCTCAATCTGTTCGATGTAATGCAGATCTTGCCTAATATGTCAACGGTACAGTACTAACGAACGCTTGCGCTGATATGCGGAATGCTGCCTCATTGAGGCACGGGAACGAGCAAAAATAAATCCCAAGTCATCGGCTCAGCGTCCACGCTCGGTTGTGGTAGGCGGTAAAATTCATGACTTGGTGAACAACTTCCGTCGAGTCCGGTAGTCCAGGCGCGCGTGCTCTTCGCACGCCTACGCATAAACCCCGAGAACCGAGGTGACCGGGATCAGAGGGTGCAGCGGGGAGTTACGTACCAGACAGTTCAGATTCACTGCTGGTCGAGAATAACGTCTGGTGCTTGGAAAAACATTGGCTGAAGCAACTTGATTCCCACTTAGCGGCTGGCGACTGTTGTGCTTCCAGGAGTGCGATGCTGATTGTTACTCACACAGGTGGCAAGTCGGGGTAGCAAGGTTGACTGAGAAACCCGTATTTAGTCGGAATTGGTAGTTAGCGCTGGCAGAAGTGGACGTCTGGTTTCAACAAGAGGCGCTAGATGGCAGTACGACAAACCAATCGATGAGTGACGTTATGACAGTGGGCGGACACGTGTGATCGCTGGCACACGTGGATATGAAGGCAGGCGTTGTTCCCCAGTGACAGCAAGCTCGAGCACGTACGGATTTACTAAGCATCGCCATATTTAGAAAAACTTCCTGTGAACATCGTGACAGAGTAGGTGGCGTACCTTAGCCATCACATTCACGGCCAGAACTCGTCGAGCGGAGGGAAAAACCAGTGGGGGACTTATTCTGTGCAGATATCCCAGTTGCTGTCTCAGGGAGCACTGTTCACTAGGAGGGCCAGGAGCTGTCCCAGGCCATGCATGAGGTGTTTAATCCGCTGTTTTCATAGTGCAGAAACTGCACCAAGGTCTTTATGCTCAGGTATGCCGGCGTTAAATTGCCTAAGACCGTGTGGACGGGTGCGCGCCCAAGGCCGCCAGTCAGCTTGGATGTTAGGTCAGTGCGGCTGGCAGTTCAGGACATGTAGGATAGCGTGCCGTGACGTCGTTACAGGAGACAATATT